GTAATTGGCGACTTGGTGGTCCTGCTAACAATAAGTCCCTGCATGTCGGGGATTTTTTCACATGTAACAATGAGGGAACTCTTAATTAATCAACTAATTAATTAATTAAAGTTAGTGATCACTGATTCGTTAATTTTATAACTTAGAGATATAGTTTGTTGCAAATGTAGTTTAGACCAGTCAATTAAGGCTGTGTGCCTCCTTTGCATCCAAATTCGATCTATTTTCCCGTACATTAGAATAGTTTAGAATATCACTTTGTCAAAAAAAAAAAAAAAAAAACAAATGACATGATTTGTTGAGTATGCAGCACGGACAGTGAATGATTTTAAAAATCACATCAAACTCGGCCTAAATAAATAAAATAATTTAATTCCTAAAATTTAGAAGTTGGTATCTTCTAACGGTGTGCCTCCCCCTAAAATATGCATGAATGAGAGAAAAAATGGAACATTGTTGCTTAAGGAGAGTGTTGGAATTGTTATGTGTGGTCAATTAGGGTGACTCGTACTCTGTTTTTTCTTTCTCTAGATTTTTCTATTTCTTAATATGGTATTGTATGCGTACCTGTAAATTGATGAATTTTCTTGATTTTACTAGCATTCGGATTAAGTTTTAATTAAACAGATCAAATTAAGATTAACGTAAGATAGCAAGACTTAGTCTTTTTGTTTTGTTTTTTTTTCGGGGGTAATGACAAAACTTTCATTGGCTTGGAGCATCGATTATGAGGCTCACTCAAAGCCCTACCAAAATGAAGCCAAGAAAAATTGCATGCTTTGCATTGAAATTTGGAAGGATCGATATCATGCATGAAATGATATGTATTTTTTCCGCTCTGAAATCCGTGTACAAATCACTGAGCAAAAGCATTGTGAAACCCGAAGTTTGCTAGTGGTAAAGAAGCAGGTTAATTTTTGTTCATCAGTGTGGGTTTACTTTATTCCTTTTTGTTCATAGACAGAAATGGCGAGACAAACAAAGAGGATCCAAGGAGAGTTTTCCAACAACTACAAGAAAAGAAGGAAATGCTTTCATATATTTTATACTATAAATACTTAATCTTAAAGTTGGTTGGGTTTAGGTAAGATTAATACCAGACCATTTGTCTTTAAGTGGGATTTGCTTCATTTTATTAAGAGAGGTTCGTGCTTCATTTTGCAACAATTTCTAACATGTGCAGTAGGTTGTAGGTGGAGGATGATCAGAACCCAAAAAAGCAAAAAGAAAAACAAGTTGGAGAGATAGCCATAAACGAGTAGGCCAAATCATATAGGATCATGTAGGAGAATCTTGGCACTGCCTATTTGGTTTTCTTTACTTTTCAGGAAAGGTTTCTTTATTATTTGGACAAAAAAACAAGAACAGGAACAAGATCAAAGATTCTTTTTGTGGCATTTTTAAGAAATCATGCGTATAATTAACAACTGGGGAACATGTGCACAACTATATATGTCTTGTCTGCGTGTTTTGTAGATTAGTGAGATGATAAAGATTTGTGTGCTTATTAGTATTTGCAAAAACTAAAATATTCTACGTGACGACATATGAACACGTACACCTTCTATTTACATTACAGAACAAGGATTAATAGAGTGATGACATAGAAAATATAATACAAATTAGATAGAGAAGTTGGATAATCTTTTTGTTAGTAATGATTAACTTTTAAACCATCAAGTCCTTCACCAAATCAAATCCAAACGAGTCCAGGGTGTTTAATAAAGAAAACAAAAGGGAGGGCTGCAAACTCTTGGCAACAACCAAAGGTAGAATCACAGGACATACATATATGGGGTAGCATCTTGTCATCCAAATAATGGAAAATAATGGACTTGCGGAGAACAGGCATAGTGTTGGGAGGAGTGTCAGGTTATATATGGATACTTCATCTCAATCAACTCAACACTGATTTTCTTGGACCTAGAGATCTTTCCCATGGACCCCCCATGAATTCGATTCATGTCCAATACCTGTCAGTACGTTTGTATACAGAGTTGACAAGCACAAAAACCAAATAAGTAGACTCATTAACTGTATAGTAATAGTATATCGTAGTTTCAACTCAACTTATTCAAACGACTAGCACTGCCACAAACAGAAGGCCGTTTAGGGGTGTTTTGTATGTAAGAAGCATTTATACTCGTAAGTGTTTTTTTTTTTTGAAGTGTTTCTATTTGAAAATGGATTTGTAATCCAGAAGTCGGTATAAATTTTTTGCCAAACGCTATCAAAAATATTTTTGGTCATGATGACCATTTTTACCATTTTAGAAACACTCTTAAATAGGGTGAGAGAGATGTTGGAGGTTGTGTTAATGGAGAGGATGTTATTCCATTCAAATATGTACAGCAACAGCTAATCTGGCGAAGTTTGCTTCTTGATGCCAGAACATATCAAGTGCAGACAATTCTGCTGTCTAATCAAATATGTGGGAAAGTCTGGAAACTATTGACATACAGCTCCTGCCTAATTTCCTTGGGAATGGTAGTCTCTCCATTATTTCAATTCATCAATAGGCTTCTGCTCTTGTTTGCATGCATAAAAACAAACAATTCACATTGCATGCCCAAACAATTTCAAATCGCATGTTGCTTGTTTGTCTTCACCAAATATCAAATCGAACTCGGGACATACGCTTATTATGAAAGGAAAATTAATAATGATTCAAAAAATTGAAAATTTATTGGATGTACGGATCACATGACAAATATTTGAAGTAGTAAAAAAATGCAAAAAAAAGTGTGACATTGTGAGTTGGGTCAGTATGACTTGGACTTGTAAACCAACTTGATCCAAGCCCATTGGGTTAACCGAAATGACAAATCTTAAAGTGCTGAAATATATATATATATCTTCAGGTGGAGCTCTGCTTTGTTTTCGTCGTAAATAAATTCTTCTAAACTTGAACACAACTTTTGTTTTGGTCGTCTGATGAGTTGGGGGTGGGGGTACCCCCACCCGTGAGAGGCTGGCGGGGTGGTGAGGTTTAGCTACTTTCTTTTATTTCTATTTTTAAATCTTAGTTCAATTAAAAGTAAACCATAGGGTAGGACGTGTTTTTGTTTTGGTCGTAGGAAGAGGACGTGTTGAGAATACATGCTATGCAAGAGAGCCCTGATAAAAAGTAGGGAGTTTCACTAAAACACCCAAAATGGAGGTTGAAATTATAAAAAAACTCAAGCACTATTTAAACATATAAACACACTCAAAACCCATCATTACACACACTCAAAACCTATTTATAAACACACCCAAAAAGTTGACTTTGGGGTTGATTTTGGGTGTGTTTCTATGTTTAAATAGTGCTTGAGTTTTTTTATAAATACATGTCTAGGATTGGATTTATTTATAAATTTGTATAAAAAGTATGTCTTGCTTGCACATGAATCTACTCTCTTTTTCCCTTTAGGCCCCCCCTACACACACACACGCAATAAAAGTTAATATTCCTCACCAAAGCTGGCATCACAGAGGGAATCACCTTCTCTCTTTATTGGGGCTTGGGGTGGTGGATTGGTGGGGGCGTAGGCGGGTGCGGGTGTCACTCGCTGTGGCCGGCTTAAGCCAAGTGTAGCCTTGCCAGCGCTTTTAAAGTTTGTCATATGTTGTCAACGAGGTTAAGTCCAATAAAAAATGTTATTGCCTTGTAGACTATAGTGGTCTCAGGTTCGAACTTTCATGTCACCTTAGAGCGATTCCAGCGGCTTACCTTTTGCCCGAGCAAAGGGAGGTCTATGCCCAAAAAGGGTTTTCAGCAGACAAATGCTGCCAAGACTGTTGATGGGCTCCACAAACTTGGGCTGGCCCAAATGCAAGAATAGTCTAAGCTGTTGCTTGGGTTTGTTGACATTAGTGATGACGTCAGCAACAAATTTTTTTTAAAAAAAATAGAAAAAAAATCTATAAAAATACTTAAAAATTTCAGAATTCTTTAAAATAGATACTTAGTCATATTCTTTACTTTCCACACCAAAACTCTATACAAATTTCTCTCCTCATATCTGATATGAATAGTGGTTGCTATAGCAATAGGTGGAAACACCACAAACCTTTTGCAAGGGCTGTCACTATTTATGTGAATAGTAACAGCTCTTGCCTTGTCCCTGTCCTTTGCCATGGCAAATGGGTGGAAGTGCTCTTAATAGTATGTGAGAAACCCCCCTCCCCTTATAGTATTAAAAAAAAATATTGTCATCTGTTAATTAAAGTAACCGTGATTAACTATTTTCAATTACTTAATGCCATATTTATGAGAAATTTATTTCATACATCCATTATCACTTAAAATAAATTTTTCATCTTCTCCGTTGCATTGCTCCTCCAGCTTATTGCTTACGAACAATTTTTTTTTTCTTTTCATGGACAATTGATAAGACAAGATTAACGAAAGTCACTTATAATTTCCAGCTTGCTTAAGTAGGACAAAGATGCGAGTGGAATGACACAACCAAGGTAACAAATAATGGACAACAACATCCTTCTTATAATCCTTATGGTGAAATAGAAAGTAGCTACACCACCAGAAAATAAAAAGTAGTTAAAGGTGGTCTTTTTTTCCTTTAATACATGCGATACTGGGAGTTTTCCACACACTACCAATGTGTCATGAGGATTTGAACTTGAGATCATTAGTCTGCAAATTAAAGTTCCCTTCGGTTGAAGAAAAAAAGAGTCTCATATCATATGGAATAGAGTACTGCCTTTTCCTTTTTTATTTACTTTTCCTAGAACAATCGTATTCCTGGATGTATTTCCCAAAACAACCCACCAACATTTTTTCCAGCGAAAAAAAAAAACCACCAATATTTTTCTCTACATGCATGCAAACACGTTGGCCCAACTTTTATCTTTCTCTGTCCCCAATACTTTAGCTTTAAAGCCCGCTTGCCTTTACCCAAAAGAAAAAAGAAAAAATCGTTGTTAATATATTAATTATTCTCAACGTACCTCCCTCTATATAAAGCCCATGCAATATAGCAGGAAGAGGCAACCAAAAACCATCTACTTACTAGTTATGGCAATGCAATTACGCTCTTTGCTCTTGTGTGTGCTGCTGCTTCTCCTTGGCTTTGCTTTGGCAGATACCAATGCTGCTGCCAGGATCCATACACCCGTTGTCTGTGCAAATCTCAGCAGGACCAATTTCGATACTCTTGTACCAGGCTTCGTATTTGGGGCTGCTACAGCATCTTACCAAGTCAGTGCATGCCTTCCGGGGGCTTAATTAATTGTGTTTCTTATGGTTACTTAATTAAGTTTCATTTGATTTCAATGTCAGATATCATTCTGTGTATATATCGTCTTATATTTGTATGTACATTTCAGGTAGAAGGTGCTGCAAACTTGGACGGTAGAGGACCAAGCATATGGGATACTTTCACCCACAAACATCCAGGTCTGTTGAATCAAACAATCAAATCTTTTTCTTTTGATGATCAGCTACTTCATTTCAAAACATACTATATGTACAGCTAATTCATTCGTTGCTTTTTTAATTTAAGCTTTCTACCTCAGTATCTCTGGTGTCATTCTTTTCCCTCTTATATTTGTTTTCTCCAAATCCTTACAGTAATTAAATATACGTTTTTCAATGTCTAAACCAGCCACCGGTACTCCATGGAAATTAGTTATTCTGGACTTACCCTCATGTTTTAAGTGTTGTAAAAGTGCTCAATGGAAATTAATTTAGAACTATCGCTTGTATCAAAACAAACTGAACTTTATATGCTCTAAATAATTAAAATTATATTTGGTAATTGCAGAAAAGATCGCTGATGGCAGCAATGGAGATGTTGCTATTGATCAATATCACCGCTATAAGGTTTGAAAATCATATAATTTTTCGAATTTGAAGGACAAACGGCATTTATGATGAAATCCTTATATTTTGGCTTCTTTCTTATAATTGTGTTTATCTTTTGTGTCATTACAGGAAGATGTGGCAATTATGAAAGATATGGGGTTGGACTCGTATAGATTCTCTATCTCATGGTCCAGAGTGTTACCAAGTAAGTTGATCATTCGCATCCACATATTTTATTAGGACCAATCACTTTATAGTTTAACATGTTTTATATTCAATTTAATTTCTATTTCTCGATAGGTAATTGCTTATATTTTCTTGTTTTGTTTGAATTATTATTAGATGGAACACTAAGTGGTGGAATTAACAAGAAAGGAATCGAATACTACAATAATCTCATCAATGAACTCCTACGCAATGGTGATACAACTATCAATCTTATATATCGTCCTAATATATAATAACAACAAATGCACTTATATTTAATCAAACTTTTAATTTTCTGTTACTGGTCATATGCTATATATAGGTATAGAGCCATTAGTGACACTCTTCCACTGGGATGTTCCCCAAACCTTAGAGGACGAATATGGTGGTTTCTTAAGCAATCGTATTGTGTAAGTGAACAACTTTTTTCCTTTATATAATATTGATCATTTAACTATATAACTACAACTATTATATAACAAATACATTTTGAAATGTGTACACACAGCAATGACTTTGAAGAATATGCAGAACTTTGTTTTAAGAAATTTGGTGATCGAGTGAAGCATTGGACCACACTTAATGAGCCATATACCTTTAGTAGCCATGGTTATGCAGACGGGATCCACGCACCAGGACGATGCTCTGCTTGGTATAACCAAACATGCTTTGGTGGAGATTCGGCTACTGAACCATATTTGGTGACACACAACCTACTCCTTGCTCATGCAGCCGCTGTAAAATTGTACAAGAAAAAATATCAGGTCTTTTAATTAGTTTTTTATTGTTGAAATATTGAGGCCTAATTGAGAATTTGATATGAGTTAGTAGTATTAAGTAACAACATAATTGTGAATATATATCTATTTATTTATTTTTCTGACTCAAAATCAACAAAAAATATTTATCTTTCTTGTGTAGGCATATCAAAAAGGTGTGATAGGAATAACAGTGGTAACACCTTGGTTTGAGCCCGCTTCAGAGGCAAAGGAAGACATAGATGCTGCATTTCGAGCTTTGGATTTTATATATGGATGGTAAGTATACTATTATTTTATATATCAACTCATTTAAATACTTTATTTATGAATTATAATATCAGCTAGCTAGCTAATAGCACTTTATATAATATTATAAGTTTATGCTTAAAATTTTCATAGGTTTATGGACCCATTGACAAGAGGTGACTATCCGCAGAGCATGCGATCTCTTGTTGGAGAACGATTACCAAATTTCACAAAAAAAGAATCCAAGTCATTGAGTGGGTCATTTGATTATATTGGAGTAAACTACTATTCTGCTAGATATGCAAGCGCTTCTAAGAATTATTCTGGACGTCCAAGCTACTTAAATGATGTTAATGTTGATATAAAAAGTGAGTACAAATTAAAAACTTCAAGTAATTAATTATGTTCATAATGACTAGATCCTAATATTCATATTTATATATGTTGTCGCAGCTGAGCTTAATGGAGTTCCCATTGGTCCACAGGTACCCATCAAATTATTTGTTTAAGCTATTGGCATTTGGACAATTAATACCTATATATATATATATATATATATATATTCCCAAAAGTCTCACTAATCTGCAAATGGGATTGCAGGCTGCTTCAAGCTGGTTATATTTTTACCCAAAAGGACTTTACGATCTTCTATGCTACACAAAGGAAAAGTATAATGATCCAATCATATACATTACTGAGAATGGTAATTAATACTTTTGAGCATTAATTAATTGCATCATTAATGTTTCACATATATGTATAATGGTGTAAAATATAGTTAAATGCTGTAAACTCTAAATTTAAAACTAAATGCACATTGCCAACATGAGGTAGCCGAGTGGCAAAAGGTCTTCACTTGCAGATCAGTAGTCTCATGCTCAAACCCCAATAACACCTTTATAGTATGTGTGTGAGAGAGAAAGAAACCTCATATTTCTCTGTAGTTTAAACTATCATTTATATTATAAATAAATAAATAAACTAAATGCACATTTCTTTTTTGGAGGAAAAAAAAATGTGTGCATAAGATACTTCATTATACTGCAGGTGTGGATGAATTCAATCAGCCCAATCCCAAATTATCACTTTTCCAACTCCTTGATGATAGCAATAGAATTTACTACTACTATCACCACCTTTGTTACCTCCAAGCAGCAATTAAGTAAGTGTTTGTCAACATTTTAATTAAGGCTATATATGTATGGAGCCTCTTTACATTTTGGTTATTTAAGCACTAAATTGACCCAAATACATTCTTTTTATTTATTTTTCTTTTGTGTGTTTGCAGAGAGGGTGTTAAAGTGAAGGGGTACTTTGCATGGTCATTGCTAGACAATTTTGAATGGGACAATGGATATACTGTTCGGTTTGGTATCAACTATGTTGATTACGACAATGGACTGAAAAGACACTCAAAACACTCAGCGCACTGGTTCAAAAGTTTCCTCAAGAAATCTTCAAGGAAAACGAAAAAGATCCGAAGATGTGGGAACAACAATACTAGGGCTACCAAGTTTGTGTTTTAAATTTGAATCCATGTGATGAATAAAGTACAACTCCTCCTCCATAGAGTCGTTGTTCAAGTTGTTTTTCATGTTTTAACTTTATGTTTGGCTCTTTCTGAGTCGGAATAAGTTGCAGCAACTCATTGTGAGTTAGTTGTCTCTCCTTATGAGTGTTTAGTTTTAATTTTACTTTACGTCATGTGCTTGGTTTATCAACGTTTGTTTGCTTTATGTGGTAGAGGTGCTTTGACCCTTCTCATATGTGGTTGGAGGGATACCTTATGTCTAAATGTTGTTGATGTATCCTTCATGTGTTTGTATTAGTCCATGTGGTCAATGGCTCTTTATGACTAAATTATGAATGCAATTCCTCTAGATAAAAAATTGTGAATAAAAATAAAAACTGAAATAAATGAATGTTCAGCCCCCACCAAAATATTTGCTACTTATACTAAGACATCTAGGAACCAATGGGATGTTAGTTGGATTGGATCAAGTTTGTAGTGTGCTCCCATGTGGTCTTGGGTTTAAGCCCCCATGGTACTCGTGTGTTGTGAAACTCTCCCTTCCTAACTTCAGGGGAAAAAACTAACTAAGACATCTAGTTTGATTTAAGTATAAATAAACTTGAACAAGATCCTTGTGGGCAAAAGAAAATGTTGAGGGTGCTTATTAGAGAAAACTTATGCTCTGAAGGGATAATATATATTTTAGAAAATTTTCTATAAATCCAAATTCCCCTTTAAGAGTTGGGTTTAATCTTCCTTTTTAAAATTTTATGATCTAATAATTTTTTTTCCTTTATGAAATTATTTTTATGCTCCAACTATGCCCCCAATGATTTAAATCGGGTAAGAGTTATTTATATCATAATAATTAGGTAATTAATATTGTTATTGACTTTGATTGCAATACATTATACATATAAAAGGGTAAGAAATTAATTTTAGACCAATAATTACTCTATTTGACGTTTAAATAAATATGATTTGTATATTTTTTTCTATCAATTTGAATTTTAACGAAAAAGATCCGAAGATGTGGGAACAACAATACTAGGGCTACCAAGTTTGTGTTTTAAATTTGAATCCATGTGATGAATAAAGTACAACTCCTCCTCCATAGAGTCGTTGTTCAAGTTGTTTTTCATGTTTTAACTTTATGTTTGGCTCTTTCTGAGTCGGAATAAGTTGCAGCAACTCATTGTGAGTTAGTTGTCTCTCCTTATGAGTGTTTAGTTTTAATTTTACTTTACGTCATGTGCTTGGTTTATCAACGTTTGTTTGCTTTATGTGGTAGAGGTGCTTTGACCCTTCTCATATGTGGTTGGAGGGATACCTTATGTCTAAATGTTGTTGATGTATCCTTCATGTGTTTGTATTAGTCCATGTGGTCAATGGCTCTTTATGACTAAATTATGAATGCAATTCCTCTAGATAAAAAATTGTGAATAAAAATAAAAACTGAAATAAATGAATGTTCAGCCCCCACCAAAATATTTGCTACTTATACTAAGACATCTAGGAACCAATGGGATGTTAGTTGGATTGGATCAAGTTTGTAGTGTGCTCCCATGTGGTCTTGGGTTTAAGCCCCCATGGTACTCGTGTGTTGTGAAACTCTCCCTTCCTAACTTCAGGGGAAAAAACTAACTAAGACATCTAGTTTGATTTAAGTATAAATAAACTTGAACAAGATCCTTGTGGGCAAAAGAAAATGTTGAGGGTGCTTATTAGAGAAAACTTATGCTCTGAAGGGATAATATATATTTTAGAAAATTTTCTATAAATCCAAATTCCCCTTTAAGAGTTGGGTTTAATCTTCCTTTTTAAAATTTTATGATCTAATAATTTTTTTTCCTTTATGAAATTATTTTTATGCTCCAACTATGCCCCCAATGATTTAAATCGGGTAAGAGTTATTTATATCATAATAATTAGGTAATTAATATTGTTATTGACTTTGATTGCAATACATTATACATATAAAAGGGTAAGAAATTAATTTTAGACCAATAATTACTCTATTTGACGTTTAAATAAATATGATTTGTATATTTTTTTCTATCAATTTGAATTTTGAAAAATCCTATAAATATGTTTTGTTGATAAAAAAAAAAAATTATCATATAAACATGCTATGAGGCTATGTTATTCAAAAAATAAATAAATGGATTTTCTTCTTCTTTCTTCTTTATCTTCTTCCTTAAGGAATCCTGAGAGTTGTTGAGGCCCAAAAAATCTCAAGCAAGGTTCGTGCATATTTTTAGGCCTAATTCATTATCCTGCTATAAAATGGACGTGGAGGCCCATCAAATACGACTACGAAGTGCCTAAACAAGCTTTGATATTCGCTCTATGCCAAATGAGACTACAATTTGGCACTTGGGGAGGTTATAATACAGGTTTACCTAGCCCACTGCTTCATCAAGCATTATCTAACACAGCTCTTAGCCACTGCAATACAACGTAGCCCAAGCATAAGCATGCAAATAATATGTCATGCCAGGCGACTCCTTTTAGTGCCAAACCACCAAAAAAGCTTAAGTGAGCTTAAGCCACATACATGCATAGGACTTGCTGAGCGAGTTGTGGTATGGATAGGTACGAGGGTCCACAAGGCCCATTAAGGGTTCAAAAGGTGGAGGTTTCAGGCTGCTTGGAAGCACCAAAACCCAAGCCCACTTCCTTAGAGCAAGTCCACCCCAAAAGGCTAAGGCAAGGCAAAGGCAAGGCAAGGTTTGACACTATTCATGTGAATAGTATCATCCTCGCCTTTTTTGGTTCAGTCGTTGTTCAAGTTGTTTTTCATGTTTTAACTTTATGTTTGGCTCTTTCTGAGTCGGAATAAGTTGCAGCAACTCATTGTGAGTTAGTTGTCTCTCCTTATGAGTGTTTAGTTTTAATTTTACTTTACGTCATGTGCTTGGTTTATCAACGTTTGTTTGCTTTATGTGGTAGAGGTGCTTTGACCCTTCTCATATGTGGTTGGAGGGATACCTTATGTCTAAATGTTGTTGATGTATCCTTCATGTGTTTGTATTAGTCCATGTGGTCAATGGCTCTTTATGACTAAATTATGAATGCAATTCCTCTAGATAAAAAATTGTGAATAAAAATAAAAACTGAAATAAATGAATGTTCAGCCCCCACCAAAATATTTGCTACTTATACTAAGACATCTAGGAACCAATGGGATGTTAGTTGGATTGGATCAAGTTTGTAGTGTGCTCCCATGTGGTCTTGGGTTTAAGCCCCCATGGTACTCGTGTGTTGTGAAACTCTCCCTTCCTAACTTCAGGGGAAAAAACTAACTAAGACATCTAGTTTGATTTAAGTATAAATAAACTTGAACAAGATCCTTGTGGGCAAAAGAAAATGTTGAGGGTGCTTATTAGAGAAAACTTATGCTCTGAAGGGATAATATATATTTTAGAAAATTTTCTATAAATCCAAATTCCCCTTTAAGAGTTGGGTTTAATCTTCCTTTTTAAAATTTTATGATCTAATAATTTTTTTTCCTTTATGAAATTATTTTTATGCTCCAACTATGCCCCCAATGATTTAAATCGGGTAAGAGTTATTTATATCATAATAATTAGGTAATTAATATTGTTATTGACTTTGATTGCAATACATTATACATATAAAAGGGTAAGAAATTAATTTTAGACCAATAATTACTCTATTTGACGTTTAAATAAATATGATTTGTATATTTTTTTCTATCAATTTGAATTTTGAAAAATCCTATAAATATGTTTTGTTGATAAAAAAAAAAAATTATCATATAAACATGCTATGAGGCTATGTTATTCAAAAAATAAATAAATGGATTTTCTTCTTCTTTCTTCTTTATCTTCTTCCTTAAGGAATCCTGAGAGTTGTTGAGGCCCAAAAAATCTCAAGCAAGGTTCGTGCATATTTTTAGGCCTAATTCATTATCCTGCTATAAAATGGACGTGGAGGCCCATCAAATACGACTACGAAGTGCCTAAACAAGCTTTGATATTCGCTCTATGCCAAATGAGACTACAATTTGGCACTTGGGGAGGTTATAATACAGGTTTACCTAGCCCACTGCTTCATCAAGCATTATCTAACACAGCTCTTAGCCACTGCAATACAACGTAGCCCAAGCATAAGCATGCAAATAATATGTCATGCCAGGCGACTCCTTTTAGTGCCAAACCACCAAAAAAGCTTAAGTGAGCTTAAGCCACATACATGCATAGGACTTGCTGAGCGAGTTGTGGTATGGATAGGTACGAGGGTCCACAAGGCCCATTAAGGGTTCAAAAGGTGGAGGTTTCAGGCTGCTTGGAAGCACCAAAACCCAAGCCCACTTCCTTAGAGCAAGTCCACCCCAAAAGGCTAAGGCAAGGCAAAGGCAAGGCAAGGTTTGACACTATTCATGTGAATAGTATCATCCTCGCCTTTTTTGGTTCCACCCCAAATGGCAAGGGCAAGGGCAATTACTATTTATTTTAATTGATTATATATTTTTTTATACTTAAACCATTAATTTTGGCATGAGAAGGGAAAAAAAAGACTATGTATTTATATATATATATAAATTCTGAAAATTTTGGTATTTTTTTCGATTTATTTTTAAAAAAATTTTAGTTGCTGACGTCATCAATGACGTCAGCAAACCCATGCAAGATTTGCCTTTGGGCCTGCCCAGGCTTGTGGCCCCCATCAACTGCCTGGTCTTGCCTTTGTACGCTGGAGCCAAAAGCTGGGCCTAGGCCTCCTACTGCCCGGGCAAACCAGCAGCGTTGGAGATGCTCTTAAGCCCAACACATGAGTAAGTAAGAGAAAAATTTCAGCACCCTTTCGCTTGAGATCGAACCAGCCTTGCCTAATTCAAACTGATAAAATCCAGTTTACATAAATATCTAGGCTAACGAAAAAGATAAGCCTCAACCTTTTTGTTTGACCATCATCTTTATACATCTTTACCCCTATGAGCTCATGCAGGAAAAGAGAAATGAAGGTCAAGTTGGAGTGTTGCCTAGTAATGAAGCTTTTACAAGGCCCAATTGCAGGAAGGCTTTAGGGCACCAAAATGTTTTGTCTCAATAACCATGGATTCAGCTTATTTTAGGGAAATTTCATTGATTAAGACCATATTGGAAAAAGTGAAGGAAAGAAATGAGAAGACTTGGCCAAATGATAAGAAACCAACTAGGGTTTGTGGGGTAAAGAGGAGTTCCAGTGCCTATAAAAGGAGGTCATTGGCTACCCAGCATGGGAGACTTAACTCAAACACAGCAATCGAGCGAGCATATTCTCTAACTGCTGGAAACATCAAGCCCAAGCACCTTCTCTTCCATCTTCTTCTTCTCTATCCTAAAAAATCAACGCAAGTAGGCGCAAGCATATTCTCTCATTGCTTGAAGCACCAGATTCAAGCTCTGGTTCTTCCATCTTTTCATTCCCTATCTCAAAAAAGCCTATTCCAGATCTGAAACACTCATCCTCTCAAGCCAAACTAAAAGCATGGTTATCACCTTCTTGGTAAGAAAACGCATACATCGCAAGCCATCCTCTAGCTATTGGAAACACCCATAATTTCAAGTCTTAATCTTTTCTTTTTACTCTTTTTGTCTTAGAACACCATGCCAAGTAATAAACGGTACCCAAAAATTTCTACAAGTCACTATCCTTAGATTCAAGCATCAGAGTTAACTTTCTCTATTCCAAGAAATCCATTCATGTTGTTGGAAGTATTCCAGAGTTACCGAAAGATATAGTCTATCTACAATTCCAAGCTTTTTCCTTTCCAGCTCTCTCTCTCTCTATCTCTTTTGCTAAACTTATGGGCTTTTAGCTCTCACGCCATAAGCTTTTCATGCCAAGCCTAGCTGTATCTTGATTCACCAAAGCAAACTCTTATGCCAAGTCTGTACAATATCAATGCATCATCTCCAACTCTTTCCAGAGCCGCCGAAAGCCTATCCAAACAAGTAGCAGCTGCTGGAATGCCTCTTCTAGCACCTGTTACATTATGTCTCAAGCAAAGACCTTTTAGTGCCTTCTCAAATCTATCGTCCAGCAAGGTCCTTACAGCGGCTGCTATATCATTCTCATCAAAACTTGCAATGTACTAAGGACCCATTGAAAAAAAAAAAACCAAAGCATTCCTTAAGACTTCAACTCTTTCAAGATATTTTGGGGCCGGGTGCCACAAACTCCTTACAGGGGTGAAAGAGAGCTCAATCTACCTCTCAACAATCTAATAATCTCATTGTAGCAAAAAAGACTCCAACAAGAGTTATTTCTTTGATTGGTGAAAATGAAATGGCCTCATACATATGTAAGAAATCTCACACGAATAGAGACCTACAAATGAGGTAAATAAACCCATCAAATGCATACATACATGTTCACCTGTTTTAGATTTGTTCCTGTGATGGTAGGGTAAAGTTCCTCATTGTCTTGAAAACCATTTGTGGTCAACAAGTCAACTTTCTTTTGTGTATGAGTGTGTCACTACTAGCAATAAAATCCCTAGCAGACTTCTTTAAAAATGGATAACTTGCACCCCAAGTTACTGATTTTAAACAAGCGATTGTGAATTTGGATGAGGAATATCTCCCAAGTAAGTTCTTTTCTTGCCTCAGACTGGTGAGGACTTCACAATTTTTCACAGTACAAAACTAGTAGTTCCGGCTAGAATAAATAACAAGAAAGTAAACTGTTTCAGGCAGAACTGCCTTTTACAAGACTCAGAAATGGAAGGACCAACTCTAAAAATGGACAAAGGAGCATTGGACTTTAATTTCTGCCTGGATAGCTATTTTTGATCCGGATTGAATTGGATGTATCCGTGCTGGATTGGACCATCAACACATTTAACTGTTAAGTTTCAACTATAAATCAATACCAACGTCCGAGTTTGGCAGAGCTTTAATATATTTCAAGCCATAGAAGACTTTTTGAACTGGCAAAATTGGAACCTCTTCAGTCTGGAGGGAGCATAAGTGACTGGATTTGATGATTACTAAGCTGGAACTGCGTTGTAGTACATGTTCTGCTTGATCAGGGCTCTCCATAAATTTGTTAAGATTTTCATATTTGTAAAACCCGAACTCTGCTTGTTTTGGCTTATGCTGAACCAAATTTGTAATAAGAGAAATCTCGCTTTGTATGACTATTTCTCTGAAACTGAACTAAATTTAGAGACTCCGAATTCCAGCTTGACTTGCTTGTTGTGGCTCAATGAGTTTTGGTTGCTTCAATGTTTTGAAGGTTTTTTGAGATCAAGTGATCATTTTGAGTTTTTATTTTTTGATTGATTTCTTGGTTGTCCTTGATCTGTTCACCTTCTCTCATATTTATAGAAAATCCTAGAGTTGGATTTCTAATCTTTTAATAATGAGCGGCAGATTTTCTAAAAACATGATCTTTTATTTTAAATGTCAAAGAAAATGAGATTTTTATCTATTCTGGCAGACAAACCATCAACAGTCAGTTCTTTATGGTGATCACTTCTCTATTTTTTGAAAGAAAAACCTAATCCTTTTTTAACTTTTAACTGCTTTGTAAGAATTCAATCTGTCATGATGGTTAGTTTGCTTTTTCTGATGAACAACTCCCTGCTCCCTATTTATCTCTTTAGAAAAATGTAGTTTGCTTATCCCTTTAAAATTATGCCTGTTCTGATGCAGATTTATATAAAAGGGGATTTTGACCTTCTTTTGACTGAAAAGATTGGAGATATCTTCATGTTTAAGACCTACCTTCATTAACTCCCTATCAGCCTTCTTGTGATAGTTAAAATTACTGACTTTTTAATGTCAGGTAGTCACGTGGGTTTGCTTCAATTTTGGGCTATTCTCTTTTTCATTTAATCACGCCAAGCCCAGGTTGAGTTTTCTCTGTTTCCAAAGCCCAAGTTAATTCTCGTGGGCTGACAAGTCCTGGACTGGGCTTTCTCAATTTTTGGGCTCTTGATTCCAATTAAACGGAAAAGTTCAAACTACTTGGATTCTAAGATTGCTTTGTCGTTCTGGGCCTCCAGCGCTGGGCTGGGTGTGCAGAATTTTGGCCCAAACAATACCTTGCCATAAGGTTAACACACACACACACACACAAAAACATATGATATACATACCTATGAAAGAAGTATGGAGGAAGTATAATTATCTATGGACAAGGTATACATATATATATATGTTAATTATCTATAGATGAGGTATATATATGAATATTAATTTCCTATGGCTGATAAATTTGAATTTATCAAAGAAAACTTGGACCCAATATATAGGACTTCTACGTCACCAATAGGTAAAGTTGGAAACTATGTATCTCTAATATATGTAAAGACTTATCCAACTCCATACAACCATGGTTGTTATACTTCAATGTGAATAAATGATAAAGAACTCTATACCAACCGTATAGATTGAATAACTCATACCTATAAGATAGGTATGCAGCCAATTAGGAAAGAAAAAAAAACCATATGAATCCTTCTAGTGCTTTAGGGTAATATGGTTTCATATCTACATTCCATATCTAAAAGCAAAAAGTTTTGAATTCATGAAGCACAAATGCAAAAACATAATTTTAGGGATGTGTATGCTTAAATTTTCCATTTCTAACTAACAGTCTCCTTTTATTGAGACATTCCTCAAATAATTTTATTTAAGGGACATCCTTTAAGGTCTACTACAATTTTTTTTTTCAACAATCCAACCCAACTTCTTTTTTTTTTTTTAATGAAGAAAAGGGGAGAAAACCCCCAAACACCAACACAACAACTAACTAGAACTAGTAAGACGAGCCTTATTGCAAAAAAGTCTACGTTCAGAGATCATCATTGCAAAAAATTAGATAAATCGAAAACCGTTTTGACATCTAATTGTATCCTACAAAATCAATGAACATGGTATTTCAAAAAAAATACTAAAATTTCAATAATTTAATTGAGTGATCAAATGATATCGGATTCAAGTGATTTTTTGTAGAGATGGTCTTTGAATGAATATCTACAAAATATACGTTTGGATTAGTGAAATACAATGTAGAGTGGGCCCTACAAGTGTGTCCCTCAACTAAAGCTATATGTTCTAACTAATGGCATATAATGTAATTTCATTCCCTATAATGGACATAAGAAGAATTTATATAGCCACACGTTTAGCTTGGTGGACTGCAATGGACAAGGAAAATTAGTGTCATGTATTCATTACATCACATCTAAATTGGACTTATCTAGCAAATGATCCATTAGAGTAGTGGTTTGGAACAATTGCTCCCCCAAGAAAGGTCCTAAGTTCGAGTCCTAACATCTGTTTAGTGTGTATGGGTTTAGTATGTTAGCGCCTCTCTTAATAGGAAATGTCTTTAAAAAATAATATTGGACCTATCTAAGAACCCCTATATTTATCTTCAAAAGAAAACTAATGTTCCTTACATAATTTCATGTGTACAAATCATACATAGACTTTAGCTTATGTACGTTTCAATGTCAACACTAAAACTCCTTACGTCACATGGTTTACACTTGCTGCAATCTGTAATTATAAAATTATATTCTAGAACTTGAAATCTGGAATAGATTTTATATAACAAAATATAGAATTGGTTTTTAGAATTCAAAACCCATCCATGATTTGATTGCGCGTGTGTGTTATTATTAATTTTTGTTTGCCAAACATACCCTAAATACAGAGGCTCATAATCCTATTTCTTTTCCCGTAAATTAGATTAATTTAGAATAAATTATCGGTTGTATTTAAAAAATATATATATAACAGCGTTGCTTCCTCTGAAAATTTGGCCTAACCCAGGGCTTAGCCAGTCACAGGTCACAAGCCTTAATTTTGGGCCCCGAAGCCCAATATGATCCAACCCAGTTAACAGCACCTGTGATGGGGCCCGCAAACAAAAAGGCCATTACCCCCTCTATCAAACCTAAAATCCAATACCATCCAATTGCAGCGTCTTCTTCCCTGGCCACCCATAAACATGGCTCTACGTATGTCCGTACAGTTCCCGATAACCTCAGCCTTCCTGTTATCCGCAAAAGCCGGTCACGTTAACTCATCCGTACGGTTGAAACCGCCATGTGCCTGTAACCATTCAGTTTCCCAGTTCCAGCCCAGACGGCCCCTAACAGACACGAGGAGCAAGCAATCGCTTCTCAAAGCCGTTGACGAAAGCCAAGCAAATTCCGAGTCCGGGCCCGAATCGGTGAGCACCCAGCAGAAAGAATCGGCGAGCACCCAGCAGAAAGAATCGGCGGGAGATGGAGAATCGGCGGCGAGTCAACCCGTCGAGTTGAGCGAGTTGGGGAAGGAGATCAAGGAGGCTATGCAGAAGAGGAAGGAGGAGAAAGAGGGAGACTTTCTGAGCGGAGTGGCGGATGAGGTTAGGGAGATCGAGTGGCCTGCGTTCGCGAAGGTGTTGGGGACCACTGGTGTGGTGCTTGGGGTCATTGCTGGCTCCAGCGTCGTTTTGCTTACTGTCAATGCCGTTTTGGCTGAGTTTTCCGACCGAGTTTTTGCCGGCAAAGGGGTTCAGGATTTTTTCAGCTGAGAGTCTGAGATAGGATAATGTTCGGTGCAAACCCGGCCCAGCCCAGCCCAGCCCATCTGCTATGCTAATTGAAGAGTGAAACTGTACATGATAATGTAATGCAGGGTCATATAACTCATTTTCTTTGTGAAATTTCACTCTTTGGTCAATACACTATTTGAAATCAATACTCAATAGCATTCATTGTATATTCAAAATTTATGGTTTTTTTCCCCTTAATTCTTACTAATGAAAGACAAGCATAACTAAATAGGCTTACAAATACAATCATAATTCAGTTCAGTTCTGCTACCCTGATCAACCAAGACCCAAAATCTCTAGCACCTGGTTTAACTTTAAAACACACCTCATTTAACAAGTTCAAGACAACAAAAGAAAGGTGGTGGAAGAGCATCAGGAACAGGAGCCTTATCATTCATTCACTTCCGCCGGCAGGGCCGACCAGGACTCCTTGAGCAGTCCCTTCTTTCCGAGCACTATCGTCCTTCTCCTCACCTTGTTCCTTCCGTATCTTGATCTTGTACTTGGCCTCAAAATCAGAAATTTCCTTTTTCTTCTTTTCCAATGCCTCATTCAGCCTAGCAATAACCTCCTCGATCCCCTCTTTGTTGCGCTGCACAGCAGGCAGGACCTCCTTGATTGTTCTCTCCACCAGCACACCTCCGATCATCCGGTAGCATCGCCTGGATGGATCAAGGGGCTGGATGGCACTGATGACCAACGAGTGCTCGCTTGCTTCCATCTCTAGCTCAGTGATTTTCGAGTAAATTTGGTTGAGTTCTGACCTCATAGCAGCAAACTTATTTGCAACTGCTTGCTCATTTACATATTCCTTTTGATCTCCTTCAGCTTTACTACTGGCCATGATTGTCTACAATGATATAACAACAGTATTCAAGAGTATGAGGAATCCACATAGTCAACAGTATTTAGACCACTGCAAAAAAGGCTTAGATATTGCATGTGGTAGAAAACTGGAAAACATACTTCAGATTCCCACAATGTAATCTTCTTCTTTTAAAAGAAACAAAAACAAAATATTGCAGCTGCATCTACCATAAATGATGATGGATTTCATACATGTGCTCCTCAAGTAATGAAAACTGACTTGATTTACTTTACAGATTTTTTTATAAACAGAATATTGCAACTAAGGAACCATTTTTCAATATGACAGACCACAAACAAGTATATTTTGATACGAGATTCCAAATGCAACTATAGTTTGTGCGACTGTCCACAACACAACTATGGATGCAAACGACTGCATCCCAGCAGGGAAGTTCACTTTGTTGATTCGTCTATGTCTAGCATGCTTGCACTCTATATACACATACATACAATCTGTTGTCAACTTGTCAGAAGCTCCTTGACAATGCTGCTTTTCCCAAATGTTTAATCCTAATAAGGCAGCAACATGGGGTAGCAATTAAATGAAAAGAAAAAGTTGAAAGTAATTAATTCATACTTGTCATCCCATAACTCGTCTATGTACAGTATGCTTGGACTACATATACACACACGTAGAATCTGTTGTTAGCAACTCCTTCACCATATGGTTTTTCCAAAATGTTTAATCTCAAGGCAACAATATGTCCTTTAATGAGATTCTCTATAATGTTTGATATGTTAAGCCAGACACCTCGCGGCCTTCGAATATCTTATCCATGAATCACTTAAATACAAATTTGAGTCTTCAAATGAGTCTCTTTATAACCCTAAAGTACCTTGAACTGGAATTTAAAGTTCTACATAATAAACAAACAAAAAATAAAGTTCTAAAAGTAATTTATTCAACTGAACTGGCTAACAAATAGTTATTTACGAAAACCTAAAAGCTTCAAAACTACTTATCTATTTCTAAATCTCTACTCTATAAAAATGAAGTTGGTGAGGAAAACATGTTGAAAGTTAAAACTACATAGTCGCTTCGGAGAATAAGTTTCCTCCCACTGTCCTTTAATTTTTCTTCAACAGGCTAGCCATCTCTTCATATTCAAAAGTAAAATTAACACTAATGAAATATGATTTCCGTTTTCGAATTGTGTATTCAACCTAAGATATACTGTAATTGGTTGTCTACACTTAAAATATCTTTACATGGTTCAAGAACTCAGAGAAAATTTTATGAGATTGGTTCCTAAGTATTTTATTCAAGAGGTTACTAGATGATACCAGAATTCACATACAACGACTCTCCTCAGAACCAAATCTCAATAATTATATTTAGTGCAATGAAATATTAATCTGTTTTGTTTTCGCTCTGCTTCATGCAGTTTCAGGAACCTCAAATTCAAAATCGAAGCTCTAATTCAATACAACAAGAAAAGCTTTGAGCTATACCCAAACACTCCCTTTCCTCATTACTCAGATCACGGCAACACAAACCTTCACATATAAAGTTTGCCTCTTTTTTGGGGGGGTTCAATTAGACCTAACCAGTCATCACTTCTGATTAACTTTACTAAAAAATCAAAGGAATTGAAAACCCTACGATCTTACATCAAAAGAGAACATACATTTAGTCTGAAAGTCAAACGGAGAAGATGAAAGCAAAGCAACAACCCATGGGAAAGAAAGCGTACCTGACTGGTGTCGCGAGGCGATAAACTCTTGATAAGAGTGGGGGAGACGGTGGCTCTGTAAACTATAGAGAGTGGCAGCGAGGCGACTGACGAAGGAGAGGTTTAGCTAAGTACTTCGCTTCGTTTTTTTTTTTGGGAGTTTCACTAAAACACCCAAGCACTATTTAAACATATAAACACACCCAAAACCCATCATTACACACACTGGGAGTTTCACTAAAACACCCAAAATGGGGGTTGAAATTATAAAAAAACCCAAGCACTATTTAAACATATAAACACACCCAAAACCCATCATTACACACACTCAAAACCCATTTATAAACACACCCAAAAAGTTGACTTTGGGGTTGATTTTGGGTGTGTTTCTATGTTTAAATAGTGCTTGGGTTTTTTTATAAATACATGTCTAGGATTGGGTTTATTTATAAATTTGTATTATTTTTTTTTCATCCTTAAAATTCGGTTTTTTATAAATCGTATAATGAGACCTCCTTCGTTTGCACCCAACAATAAGGGCAAAATAAGGTCTCTATCTAAGGCCATCCCCAATGGAAGGGGCTCTATAAACGATAAAATCTTAGGGGTTTTAAAGAAATCACTTTCATAATGAGAGGTTCTATATTTATAGCGGGCTTTATATTTTTTTTATGATGTATTTTGATTTACATGGTTTTTTTTTTTTGGTTAATTAATTTACTTTAATGTTTGTTTATGTTATGTTTTTTTTTTTTTTTGTGTGAACATTTCAACCCAAAAAAATCAAAATTTGGACAAGATTTAGAATAATTGGCTTAGCATGCTGTTTGTTTATTTTACACAGCTTTTTCAACATTGGTTTAGCATGCTGTTGACAAAAGAAATAATTGGCAAGTCCCCTTATACAATTGCAAGGCAGGTGAGAAAACATAAAAAAGTAGGTTGCAGTTTTTTTAATTGGCAAGACCTGTTAGCTACTATTCCGGTTGGGCTTCAAGTTTTAGAGCCCCAAATTTGCACCATTAGGAATGCTTTTTTAAAGAAAGTTTGTATATATTAGAACCTTGTGGTGGTTGAGCCCCAAATAGAGCCCCCATTGAGGATGGCCTAATGAGTTTACATTTGGTGTAACATTAAAATATATTTTATAGTGTAATGTTAATTAAATAAAATTGGAAAAGAAAAAAAAAACCTCTATCCCAAATTTATGATTTTTTTTCCCCACTAATTTATATAGGTCATGTGCTCGATTCCCCTTCCAAGACCTAAAAAGGGTCCCTTTTGTATGTGTATATGGCCAAACGAGAGGTGTGGTCCACCCTAAACCCAGTAATTTATGTGCAACTTTCTCTCTCTTTTTAAATTTTTTTAAATATATAAGTGATAGTCTAAATTATTCTAAATTAATTTAATTTACAAAAAAAAAAAGATTTGAACTTGACTATAATGGGGAGGACTCAACCCCTAACCAGCTGGCCTAATCCACATTTTCCCTATATATTTCTTTTACAGTGTGTTTGGATGAGGAAATTTAAAAGTACAAAGGATTTCATAAATGACATAAATTAATGTTCTAGAAATTATGAAGTTTCTTGTTTGGGTGACGAAATTTAACATTTATTTGTAAATTGATATGTTTTAAAAACTCAATCTCTCTTGGGATTTTAGAAATGACGACTTTTAGATAGAATTTAAAGTTGGAATTTATGATTTCCAAATTCTATATTTTTTCCCACGAGGAATTTCTAAATTTCTATGTTTTTTTATCCAAACCCGGGAATTGGTTCATATCAATTTAGAAATTCTGACTTCGGTCAAAATCCCAAGTTTATTTCCCTCATTTAAAAGCACAGTTAGAGATTTTTGTAGAAATGACACATGAACTTATGCCTCAGTTTCAATTTGTCATTTTTTAAAAAAAATTAAGAGAAATGTCATCTTAATTTTTCAAAATTCATGATTTGTCATCTGATTTTAACACCATCCAATTTTCCATCAATTTTAAAGGTATTTTAGTCTTTTCATTTTCAAGGGTATTTAAAAAATGAACAAATTATTATTTTAAAAATAAATAAAAAAAGCTTATATGTAAAAATGGTCTTTGTGTTTAGAACCATTAGTCAATGTTGCTCATTTAGTTGAATTTGATGTTAAATAGACATAATAAACTTTTTTTTTTCTTTTGAAAATGCATAAACCTTTTTGAAATTAATTAAAGAACTGAATTAATCTAAAAATATTAAAATTCATTAAAGTAAATCATAACATTAGAGAAAGGCTCGCACAAAAATAAATAAAATAAAGCATTAGAGAAAGGAAAAAAACTTAAAAAAAAGGGATGGGGGTTGTTGAGGAGGGAAGGACCCATCAACGGAGAGGTGGGAATGAGGGCCATGGCCGAAGGGGGAGAGATGGAGAGAGGGGAGTGGGGCGACGATCGGATGGGTAGAGATTGGGGTGGAGACGGGTTGGGAAATATGGGTGAGGAACTAGCTGGGATGGAGTAAATGGCTATGGATGGTGGGGGTATGAGTTTTTCTTGTGAGAGAGTGAGATATATATATATATATAGGAGTTTTTCTTGTGTGAGAGAGAGAGAGATATATA